AGATCCTTGAACTTTTGTGGGATTTCTTTTTTAATAGAGTTAAATATGAAACTAAATATACATAGCTTCTTGATCACCATGCCCATTGTCTAGGAAACATCCTGAGGATGACCTAAAGGAACAGAGGTCTGTGTTTTCGATGGGGAAAATACAGTGTTTACAAAAGCTTGTAAGTTTGTTTTGTTCTCTTGACTTTTTTATTGCTTTGGCTTCATAGGAGATTGGGTATATGAGAAGCATGTATTATAAAACTCAGAATGGTTTTAAATGGTGAATAGTAATTCCAGCAGAAATGTAAATCATTTAAATTTATAAGGTAGGATTATAATAACTATAGGTTAACCCACTGGTGATGGCAGGATAGCTCCAAAAATTTCAGCCATATATATTGTGAACCACAGAAAGGTGTAGATTGGAAATTAGGGTAGGAAATTTAACTGACATTTCTTGAGACTCCAATATGTGCCCAGTGCTATAATTTATATACATATAAATATATATGTATATTTTAGATGGAATCTCACCCTGTCACCCAGGCTGGAGTGCAGTGGCATGATCTCGGCTCGCTGCAACCTCCACCCCCTGGGTTCAAGCAGTTCTCTGCCTCAGCCTCCCGAGTAGCTGGGATTACAGGCACCCACCACCACACCTGGCTAATTTTTGTTTTTTTGGTTTTTTTTTTTAAGACAGAGTCTCACTCTGTCTCCCAAGATGGAGTGCAGTGGCATGATCTCGACTCACTGCAACCTCCACCTCCTGAGTTCAAGTGGTTCTCCTGCCTGATCCTCTTGAGTAGCTGGGACTACAGGCATGTGCCAGCACACCCGGCTAATTTTTGTATTTTTTAGTAGAGGCAGGGTTTCACCATATTGGCCAGGCTGGTCTCAAACTCCTGATCTCATGATCTGCCCACCTCGGCCTCCCAAAGTGCTGGGATTATAAGTGTGAGCCACTGCACCTGGACTGTTATATATATTTTACAGAGTTTTCTTATTCAGTCTTAGCAACAAGACAAAAGATGGTCACTAGTATCCTCACATTACAGATAAAGAAACAATTCCATCAAGTAATTAAATTGGCCAGCTCACACAAATAAGAAAACATCTCTAGCTGACCACCAATTCTATAGTCTACCCATGGCAGTCATGCTGCCCTAGTGGGTATATCCTGCTTTCTGCTTACATGGCTTGTGCAGGGGAACACCTCTTTTTAAAATGATCAGATCTTGTGAGACTTATTCACTTTCACGAGAACAGCACGGGAAAGACCCACCCCCGTAATTCAGTCACCTTCTACCAGGTTCCTCCCACAAAACATGGGAATTGTGGAAGTTAAAATTCAAGTTGAGATTTGGGTGAATACACAGCCAAACCACATCATTTCACCCCTGGCCCCTCCTATATCTCATGTCCTCACATTTTAAAGCCAGTCATGTCTTCCTAACAGCCCCTCAAAGTCTTAACTCATTTCAGTATTAACTCAGAAATGTACAGTCCAGTGCCTCATCTGAGACAAGGCAAGTCCCTTCCGCCTATGACCCTGTAAAATCAAAAGCAAGTTAGTTACTTCCTAAATACAATGGGGTTACAGGCACTGGATAAATACAGCCATTCCAAATGGGAGAAATCGGCCAAAACAAAGGGGCTACAGGCCCCATACAAGTCCAAAATCCAGTGGGGCAGTCAAATCTTAAAGCTCCAAAATGATCTCCTTTGACTCTATGCCTCACATCCAGGTCATATTGATGCAAGAGGTGGGTTCCCATGGTCTTGGGCAGCTCCACCTCTGTGGCTTTGCAGGGTACACCCTCCCTTCCAGCTGCTTTCACGGCTGGCATTGAGTGTCTGCAGCTTTTCCAGGAGCACAGTGCAAGCTGTCAGTGGATCTGTTGTTCTGGGGTCTGGAGGAGGATGGCCCTCTTCTAGCTCCACTAGATGGGCCCCAGTGGGGACTCTGTGTTGGGACTCTGACCCCACATTTCCCTTCCACACTGCCCTAGCAGAGGTTCTCCTTCAGAGCTCCACCCCTGCAGCAGACTTCGGCTTGGACATCCAGGCATTTCCCTACATCCTCTGAAATCTAGGCAGAGGTTCCCAAACCTCAATTCTTGACTTCTGTGCGCTTGCCGTGGAAGCTGCCAAGCCTTGGGGCTTGCACCCTTTGCCATGAGAACAGCACAGGAAAGACCCACTCCCATAATTCAGTCATGGCTCTATGTTGGCCAATATCAACCATGGGTGGAGTGACCCAGAGGCAGGGCACCAAGTCCCTAGACTGCACACAGCAGAGGGACCCTGGGCCTGGTCCATAAAACCATTTTTTTCTCCTAGGCCTCAGGGCCTGTGATGGGAGGGGGCCACCATGAAGACTTACGACACGCCCTGGAGATGTTCTCCCCATATTGTCCTGGGGAGTAACATTTGGCTCCTTGTTACTTATGTAAATTTCTGCAGCTGGCTTGAATTTCTCCTCAGAAAATGGGATTTTCTCTTTTATTGCATTGTCAGGCTGCAAATTTTTCAAACTTTTATGCTCTACTTCCCTTATAAAACTAAATGTCTTTAAAAGTACCCAAGTCACCGCTTGAATGTTTTGCTGCTTAGAAATTTCTTCTGCCAGAGACCTTAAATCATAACTCTCAAGTTCAAAGTTCCATAGATCTCTAGGGCAGGAGCAAAATGCCTCCAGTCTCTTTGCTAAAATATAACAAGTGTCACCTTTATTCCAGTTCCAAACAAGTTCCTCATCTCTATCTGAGAACACCTCAGACAGGTTTTCATTATCCATATCATTATCAGCATTTTGGGCAAAGCCATTCAACAAGTCTCTAGGAAGTACCAAACTTTCGCACATTTTCCTGTCTTCTTCTGAACCCTCCAAACTGTTCCAGCCCCTGCCTGCTACCCAGTTCCAAAGTCACTTCCACATTTTTAGGTGTCTACAGCAGCACCCACTCTACTGGTACTAATGTACTGTATTAGTCCGTTTTCACACTTCTGATAAAGATGTACCTGAGGCTCAGCAAAGTACAAAAGAAAGTTTTATAAACTTTCCTTTTGGACTCACAGTTCCACATGACTGGAGAGACCTCACAATCATGGTAGAAGGTGAAAAACACATCTCACACGGCAGCAGACAAGAGAAGAGTGCTTGTGGAGAGGAATGCCTCTTTTTCAAACCATCAGATTTCATGAGACTTATTCACTATCATGAGAACAGTGCATGGAAAACCTGCCCCCATAATTCAATCACCTCCAACCAGGTTCCTTCCATGACATGTGGGAATTGTGGGAGTTACAATTCAAGATGAGATTTGGGTGGGGACGCAGCCAAACCATATTATTGAGTGACTTAAAATAACAGAAATTTATTGTCTCACAGGCTTGGAAGCTGGAAGTCAAGAAATCAAGGTGTCAGTAGGGCTATGCCCCTCTGAAATTCATAAGCAAATTATTCCTTGCCTATTAGCTTATGGAGGTTTACCAGCAGTCTTTCATGTACCTTGGTTTGGCTCTTCAGATGGCTATCTTCTAAGGAACCAGTTATGTTGTGTTGGGGCCCATCCAACTCCAGTATGACCTTTTCTTAACTATTTACATCTGTAATGACACTATTTTCAAAGAAAGTCACATTCTGAGGTCCTAGTGGTAAGGACGTCACATTTCTTTTTGAGGGAGGACATGCTTCAACCCATAACACCTCCCATGTTCCACCCCAGTCAATACATCTTCCTTCTCAACAAAAGACACAAAGGGTGTTTTAAATTCATAATATCATCCCTGCCAAATCAGTGGTAGCGAGCAAGGAGATTGTGATGTATTCACTAAGAGGACTGTTACCTCTTCCATATTACAGATTAAGTATCCCTAGTCCAAAATCCAGAATGCTTCAAAATTTGAAATTTTTGAGCAGTAACATAATGTTCAAAGGAAATGCTCATTAGATCATTTTGAATTTCAGATATTTGGATTAGGGATACTTAACTGGTAAGTATATAATGCAAATATTCCAAAATAAAAAGAAATCCTAAATAATTCTGGTCCTAAGCATTTTCGATGAGGAACACTCCACCTGTACCTTATACCAATTCTTTCTTTCAAGTAGCTATTTTATAGAAAGCCTTCAAGCACTCTTTAAAAAATCAGTATGGCTGTAAACAGTTGTATCTTTCTATTACGGTCCTTGCTTTATGGTATCAGAGACCTCCTAGAGCTTAACCTTTCCTAGTGTATAGCATAATAGTATTGTCTTAGTCAGTTTTGTGCTGCTATAACAATACCACAAACTGTAATTTATAATGAAAAAAATTTATTGGCTCATGGGTATGGAGACTGGGAAATCTAAGATTGAGAGGCTGATGTCTGGAGAAGGTCTTCTTGTTGCCATGTCATCCCATGGTGAAATGTAGAAGGGCAAGAGAGGAAGCAGGGTGGTGGGTAGGAGGGGAGAAAGGGAGAGAAAAGAAAAGTGGGAGAGAGAAACAGTCCGCGATGGAGAGGGGAAAGTCTCACATGATTATTGTATTTTTAGGTGGTGATGTTTTAAATTCTAATGTCAAGAAGAAAAGTTGTTGGTCCTTAGATCAAATTGACTGTATAGATTATGTACTTCAGTCTGATATATGAAGACAGGAATTTCAGTGTCAAACACAAAATAACTATAAGGAATAAAGTTCTTTTGAGCACCGTGTAATGCTGTCTAACTATAGTGGTATCCAGATTTTCATTGGAAGATACAGTGTGTAGGCAGCTATGAAAGCAATTTTAAGGCAAAATTTTACTTACTCTGCAAATATACTTCCCATAAATTAAATAAAGGCAAATTTTTAAAATTTCTTTAATTTTTGATTTGTAAAGAGGATAGGCCAGTAAATAATTTATCAACTTGTGGCTTGGCACCATAGTAAATTGCCAGAAATAACTCAGCTTTATTTTTCAAAAGGATTAATGATTTTTCAAAAGGATTAATGAATGCATAATAAGTTTTCTTTCTTTTTCTAGCCAAGGACCCTTGTCATCCATTAGAGCAGTAATCAAGAGATGTAAGTTTGTTTTTTCCTTCTCTGTATTTTCCTCTGTAATAATTTTAAGTGATGATTTAGATTTCCAGCAGGTGATTATTTTTGACGAATCTACAAAGAACCCAAGAGTATCTTCTCCTAAGAAGTATTAAAGCATTTCAGACCAACCTAGTTTTCATCTTATATTTATTGATATGCCAGTTTCTCAGAACCATGTTTTTCTCTTACAGAACAAAGCTGGGTTTTTTTTTCTTAATCCCAAATTATAAAGCTGTATAAAGCTGTTTGTTTTTTAAATTTGCCTATCTAGTTTCTGTGATCTAATATAAATTTCGTGTAATCATTTTCTAGAGTTAGAGACATCTTACAGGTTTAAGAAATCTTAAATCCTGGCCTGGCACAGTGTCTCACACCTGTAATTCCAGCACTTTGGGGGGCCGAAGCATGTGGAAGACCTGAGGTCAAGAGTTCAAGACCAGTCCAACAAACATGGTGAAACCCCATCTCTACTAAAAATATAAAAACTTAGCTGGGCATGTTGGCAGGGGCCTGTAATCCCAGGTACTCGGGAGGCAGGAGACTTGCTTGCACCCGGGATCAGAGGTTGCAGTGAGCCAATATCGCACCACTGCACTCCAGCCTGGGCAACAAGATCGAAACTCTGTCTCAAAAAAAAAAAGAAATATTAAATTCTGTTCCTTTTGGTTCATTTGTTTCCACAGGTACTCTTCACAATATATTTTTTAACTGTGTTAAGTGCTTATAAAGATGGACTTACACTACCACATCAAGATAGAAGTGCTAAGAGTAGAATTCCTATCAGAAGTGAACATTTCTACTTTCTGTCCTTATCTCTTGGTTTAGACTTCAAAACTTGCTATTAGTGTGGTATTTTAACACTTTTTTAAATAAAAGGCTCTGGAAAGGTCTCTTTAAAAATAGAACATGGATTGCCTGTGATAGAAAAGGATAAATATAGGATTTTAGATGTTCTTCCCATTATTTGAGCTGAGGTTACCACCGTGAGGAGAATGTGCCCTATTTTTAGAAATATAACTTTTTTTTTTTTTTTTAGACAGAGTCTCTCTCTGTCACCCAGGTTGGAGTACAAGTGGCATGATCTCAGTTCACTGCAGCCTCCACCTCCTGGGCTCAAGCAATTCTCCTGCCTCAGCCTCCTGAGTAGCTGGGATTACAGGCACCCACCACCACAGCCAGCTGATTTTTATATTTTTAGTAGAGATGGGGTTTCACCCCATTGGTTGGGCTGGTCTCAAGTGACTTGCCCACCTTGGCCTCCCAAAGTGCTAGGATTACAGGCATGAGCCACCGTGGCCGGTCCAATAATTAGTAATATTTAGTGTGAATTTAGGATATTGACAGGTGATGAAGAACATGCATTTGAACAATCCCAGTGAAAATTTTACAAGGTGACAATACAGAAAAATACACCATGTTTCCCCACTCCATTTTTTTCTTTACTGGTGAACTATAAATATATGGGAATGCTATGATATATGATGAAGAGAATTTCAGGTATAAAAATGAAAATTTCTTCATAGCTTTTCATGCCTTATAACCCATGGGGTGGGGGTGGCAGGAGATGACAGGAAGAGAGATAATTTAAATACAAAATTAAGGTCTAGAACTTAGGCAAGAATTTCTTGGCTGGAGATATAACTTAGAATAATCATGGCTGTAGGCAAAATCCTGGAAGTAGCCAAACAGGTAGGGAGAAAGTATACAGGATAGGAAAGATGACAAGGGATAGAATCTTGGAGACACTGATGTCTGAGGACAAGCTATGCCTTCAAGGGGCATAAGGCAAAAATGCATGACCTAATGAACCCAGCCCTGCTGTGAAAGGCCTCCTTTCACTGAGTCATTTCTGTGGGCTCCTGCCTTTATTCCCTGGCTTCTTAACTCCCCTGGATTTCAGGACTTTTTTATTAGGGAAACACAACCTGTGCCTGACTTCCCATAGATCCTTCAAGATGGATCTTGCTCACCCAGAGGCCCCTGTGCTGTGCAAGGTGCAGCTAAGACGTGGGCATTAAAAGCTGAAAAGGGTTGGTCAGAGTAATAGAAGGAACAGGAGATGGCTGTATTTTAGAGGTCAAAGGAGAATATTTTAAAAGGAACAAGCGAACTACCAATAGCTCTTAATACTACAGCCAGGCCAAGCAAAAGGTGCTGAGAACAGGTCAACTACCGCAAATTTGTTTAATATGAGGAAGTGAGAATGAGATATATGAGCAGATAGTTGAGAAATTCGCAGAAAGAGCATGAGACAACACATGAAAATCTGTGGTGAAAACCAAAAGTGTTTGTAGCTATTAATCTTGTTCAGCACTGACAGAAAGTGTCAGTTTTTCTAGAAGGATCAATAGAGAAAAGAAAGATTTCATAGATGAGTGAATGTGAAAAAAATCAGAGAAGGAGAGGGGAAAGCAGTGATTCTCAAAGGATGTGCAGGAGGAGATCTGTAAGTACAAATGCGAGACACGTCCGTGCTCTGCAGCCTCAGTGCCACTCTGCTGCCGGGGGCCTGCTGCCCGGGGCCTGCTACCAGTGACCTCTGGTGTGAATGGGCAGAAGCAAGTTAAAATCGCTAACTTAAAACAATGTAAATCAACTACTGAATTGCCTTTTAAGTATTATTCATACTTTAAAATCAATCCTTATCAAAGTAGCAAATTGATTTTGCAAAATCGTTTGTAGATTTTTTAAAACTGTTGTTTAAAACTGCAGACAGGCCAGGCACAGTGGCTCACGCCTGTAATCCTAGCACATTAGGAGGCCAAGGTGGGCAGATTACTTGAGGTCAGGAGGTTGAGACAAGCCTTGGCAACATGCCAAAACCCATTTCTACAAAAAATTAGCCAGGTGTGGTGGCACATACCTGTAGTCCCAGCTACTTGGGGCTCTGAGGCAGGAAGATCGCTTGCAGCAGGGAGGTCAAGGCTGCAGTAAGCTAATATTGCACCACCACACTCCAGCCTGGGTGACAGACTGAGACCTTGTCTCAAAACCGAAACAAAACAAAACAAACAAAAACCTTCAAGCAGGTTTTTTGACTGTGGTTATGTGTGTGGATATCCTGGTTTGCAGAGACAACTCTTTGCAGTAACATATTTCTTTACTCTCTGTAACTGTGGTTCATCAACTTTCCTTTTCCATTTAAGTGTGCATAGCAGGGAAAAACAGTGGCATGACAAGACTGTCATGCTCCTGAATTCCTTTTAAAGGTTGGACAACTAGGTTCACTCTTTTTTCTTCCTTTCCTCTTCTATAACCCCTTCTTTTTTTCCCTTAGCACTCATGAATAGTACACAGCAAAAATGCCCCGTGGAAGAGGTATGTTTGTGACAATAACATGAAGTCTTTTAAAAGTGGTATGTCTGCTGATTGTAGCATTAGTGGTGGCGGTGATGTGATTATAGCAAACTTGAGCGGGCCTCTGACTTAACGAAACTGTTCTTACCAATCAGACAAACCATGCAGAGCTCTAGCGTCTCTGTCAGCGTGGTTTACTCTCGATAAAAATGTTGACAGGCAGTCACACCAGTTGATGATGTGAATATGAGGACATCCTCCAAGTAGAGACCCAGGGGTTTTGGTTTCAGATGTTAGAATCTGGGCTTTGCCGACCCACCAGAGGTTCACCTGTCACAGCTTCAATCCAGCCTAAATTTCATTTCCACCTTCCAGTTCCACCCCTGCCTCCCCAAACTTTGACAGTCTCCTTGTTCAGGGAGAAGCGGAAGTTAATAGGGTGGGGGAAAAGATCTATGCTTCCAATCTTTTCAAATAAGAATATTTGAGCAAGTTGAGTATTACAGACATATGAAAGCAACTGTTTAAAATAGTTTATATCTGAAACAAATTTCCTTTGTGCACAAATTTTTATAGTATTTGTAGAATTTTTTCCCCAAAGGCATCTTTAGAATATGTTCCTTGAAAAATAGAGGTAATAGTCTCTATTAAATAAAAATTGGCATCATACATGACATGTTCCAGATTATCTGATTAAGACTTAGTTTGCTTTATAAAGCAAAATTTGGGCCAGCTGCAGTGGCTCACGCCTGTAATCCCAACACTTTGGGAGGCCAAGGCAGGTGGATCACCTGTGGTTGAGAGTTCGAGACCAGCCTGACCAACATGGAGAAACCCCATCTCTACTAAAAATACAAAATTAGCTGGGTGTGGTGGCGCTTGCCTGTAACCCCAGCTACTCAGAGGCTGAGGCAGGAGAATCACATGAACCCAGGAGGCGGAGGTTGCAGTGAGCCAAGATCGCACCATTGCATTCCAGCCTGGGCAACAAAAGCAAAACTCTGTCTCAAAACAACAAGAACAAAAACAAAAAAGTAAAATTTGGGAAAATAATTTAAACTATCAAGCTTAAGGACTTGAGTTTCAGACTTAAGAAAAAAGTCAGTGCTGCATATACAATAATATGTGCCATAAACATGTTTATAAAAGTGATTTGAACACCTTTTGCATTTATTTTTTTCTTTTCTTTTTTTTTTTTAATAGTAATTTAAGTAAGAAAAGGCTAGACTCATGCCTGTAATCATGCCTGTAATCCCAGTACTTTGGGAAGCCCAGGCAGGAGGGTCACGTGAACCCAGGAGTTTGAGACCAGCAACATGGCAAAACCTCACCTCTCTAAAACATGCAAAAATTAGCCAGGTATGGCGTCATGTGCCTGTAGTCCCAGCTACTTGGGAGGCTGAGGCAAGAGAATGACTTGAGTCTGGGAAGTTGAGGCTGCTTTGAGCCCTGATCATCATACCACTGCACTCCAGCCTGGGCAACAGAGTGAGACCCTATCTCAAAACAAATAATTAAACAACTTACAGGTTATAAAATTTCAGTTAAGTTAGAATAAACATGAAAATTTGACCAGTTTCATTCTATAATAGATTTATAAACAAACATCACAAAAGCACCGTCATATAGATTGGGATAGATATTTAAAATTTTTCCTGCCCATTGTTATTTCATATCATCATCCTAATGCTCCAACCATGCAACTTATATTTAATAGCTGTCTTCTTTTCTCTGTTCGCTCTTCAAACTATTTTCCCAACCACAGAATGTGCTTTGGGGAGTTTTATGCAGTCTCCAATATACAACCATAATTAACTTTATGCCAATAAAATGATTATTTTTATTTACTTTTCTATTTAGGGATATTAAAATTCATACACTCCATACAATGTCAAGTATAAGCTTTTTTCAACTATTTACTCTGTAAAAAATTAAACCCTTACCTAACGTACTAATTTTGTACTATACCAGTTTATTCCTTCTTCAACAGCTTCTCGGACTTCTATTCAGAGTGAGCTTCATCGGGATAGAAGGTATGGTTGTATTTATAATAGAGGACATATTTTCTGCTGATAATTGAAATAAAAGTGTGTTATCAGGTAGCAAGTTAAATATTTCACTTTCATAAGCAATGTATTATTTTATTCTGCCTCATCAGTGTATCTCCTAAATTAACTTATAAGTTTGAAAGATGATTTTGCATGACAGAAGGAGTGATACAGGCTTGAAAATGTTCTTTTGAGTGTAATTATTTACTGACGTTGATTTTTAAAATGTTTATTAAACAACTGCCACACCTAAAGCATTATAACTGCTTCAGAGAAATGCTTTGTACCTCATGCTACTTAGCACATGTTGCCTAACCAAATGGATGGATGACAGGATAGAAAATTGAACGGAAGGATAAAGAAAGGAAAAGAGGAGGTAAGCAGGATGAGTAAAGCCCGGATGGCTTTTTGGAAAAAGGAAGGGAAAAGAGAAGGGAGGAGAGATATTATCTGAATAGGTAGATGGAAGGACCAGTGGACAGATGGACAGTAGAATGGACAGAAGGATGGATGGACAAATAAAAGAATGGGAGGGGTGGGCAGATGGGTAAATGGATGGATAGATTTTTTTTTTTTACATTATATCATGACAGTCAATCAGATAGATAGGCTTTTATAAGTCATGGTCCCTGCTGTCAAATTTCTGATAGTACAGTATAGAATAAAAAAGGACTTTAGAGTCAGAACCAAGTTCAAATCCTGACCATCACTTTCCTACCATGTGACCTTGGGCAACAAGCTGCTTAATCTCTCTAGCTTCTGTATCCCCATCCTTAAAATGGTGCTAATCATACCTACATCACAAGGTTGTTGTAAGAATTAATGTACATATGATGCTTAACATTTATTAACTAGTAACTCATATTTAGTTAGACAAAAGCTACAAGCAGAGGTTCTGAGGGAATGCAGTTCAAATTTAATCAATGATAGGTTCTACTGTTTCACAGTGTAGCATGAAAGTGTGTGAAATGCACAATTTTGATGACAGTGCTTTTTTGTTTTTATTTTCCATAGAGTGCTAGAGAAAGGCAGAGCAGGTATTATCATTTATATATGTTCCATCAGAAAACTGAATTTTCCACTCAAAACTGTTGATTGATTTGTTCAGGGGCACACAGTTGGTATTTGTTAAGAAATCAGGTTGAAGAGAAAATTTAAACATGCTCCTGGCGCAGTGGCTCACAGCTGTAATCCTAGCACGTTGGAAGGATTGCTCGAGGCCAGGAGTTCAAAACCAGCCTGGGCAAGATAGCAAAACCTCATCTCTAGAAAAAAAATTTTAATTAACTGGGCATCGTGGTATGTGCCTATAGTCCCAGCTACTCAGGAAGCTGAGGTGGTGGGAGCTTGAGGCGGCAGTGACCTATGATTGCACCACTGCACTCCTGCCTGGGCAACAGAGCAAGGCCCTGTCTCTGTAAAATTAATTAATTAATTAGTTTAAACATGACAATGTAGAATCAGATTAAGATAAAAGGAGTCTTGCCTAAATCACTACAGCTCTTCAGTATTAATGAACACAGGCCGGGCGTAATGGCTCATGCTGTAATCCAAGCACTTTGGAGGCCAAGGCAGGTGGATCACCTGAGGTCGGGAGTTCAAGACCAGCCTGATCAACATGGTGAAATCCCGTCTTTAAAAAAAAAAAAAAAAGTACGCCAGGCGCGGTGGCTCAAGCCTGTAATCCCAGCACTTTGGGAGGCCGAGGCGGGTGGATCACGAGGTCAAGAGATCGAGACCATCCTGGTCAACATGGTGAAACCTCGTCTCTACTAAAAATACAAAACATTAGCTGGGCATGGTGGCATGTGCCTGTAATCCCAGCTACTCAGGAGGTTGAGGCAGGAGCATTGCCTGAACCCACGAAGCGGAGGTTGCGGTGAGCTGAGATCGCGCCATTGCACTCCAGCCTGGGTAACAAGAGTGAAACTCCGTCTCAAAAAAAAAAAAGTATTAATGAACACAGAAAAACATATCAAAGTCTAGAAGTGAACATATAACCTCAAAACATTTAAACATAACTTTGAATTGGAACAGAGATGGAGTGAGGCAGAAGAAGATATTCTTTTTATATGGTAATTTTCATTTCAGAGTATGTATTTTATAATAACAGAAAACCAAGCTGGGCCCAGCGGCTAACACCTCTAATCCCAGCATTTTGGGAGGCTGAGGTGGGCAGATCACTTGAGGTTAGGGGTTCGAGACCAGCCTGGCCAATATGGCGAAAACCCATCTCTACTAAAAATACAAAAATTAGCTGGGTGTGGTGGTGTATGCCTGTAATCCCAGCTACTCGGGAGGAAGGCACAAGAATTGCTTGAACCTGGGAGGTGGAGGTTGCAGGGAGTCAAGATCAAGATTGTGCCACTGCACTCCAGCCTGTGCAACAGAGTGAGACTCAGTCTCAAATAACAATAATAACAGAAAATAAAACAATTCCATTTGACTAGTGGGCTTTTATACCTTACACTATACATCTGCCCTATAGGCTAGATAGCCCTGGAATGAAGAGATTGTATAGGCCTTACTTACTTAGTTCTTATCCCTATCAACCAAAGCAGAGCCAAGTGTGCTCAGGGTCCATCTCTTAACTTTTTGAGGCGAAAGTCATAGAGGATGACTGTCATTTGCTCCCTTGAAGCCTCTGTGGGTGCACTGTCAGAGACACCCCAGGCCAGACAGGTCATTTCCATGACTGTGTTAGTTCTTATAACTTTTTTGCGTGGTGGTGGTTTTCATGAAACTGAGAACATTTACAGAGAGACAATAGCTTGCTACCAACCTGCAAAACCTCATTGAGTCTTCTGTCCACTAGGCGCCCAGAGATCACCATTGTGGCAGCTGAGCCACTGAGACCAGCCTCGTGGTTTCCGGGAACCCCACACCCAGGTCTGGGATTTCCTGCATCATCTGCAGCAGGCCCTTGGAGGCCTAATGAGCTGGTTCCTGCTGAGGTGAATAAACATCACATTATCTCTTTGCATTTTATTTTTTAAATGAAATTCAAAGATAAGAACAGTGAGACTGTCAACACCTTGGCTATTGCCCATAGATGTCTGAAATCTTCATTCTTTACTTTTCAGCTCCCACCATCTTATGAACAAGTTATAAAAGAAATCAACCAAGTTCAAGTTAATACAACAAATAATAATAATGCTGCTGCCACTCCAAGGCACACTATTACTTCTGCAACTCAGACTGACTTTTCAGAAGAAATAGACAACGATCTGCCTCAAAGTAATGCAAGTAATCTGTCTTCCCTGATTCTGACCTAGTTCTAGGGAAGTAATCAGTAGGCTTCCAGCCTTTAAAATAATTTGCAATTTGTGCATAATTCACTGAGCTCTGCTGCCCAATCAGTGTGATCGCTGTGTGCTTGCTTTATTTGGATATGCAGTGATTATTATAATAGATCATTCTTACAAACTGCAGCCCCAATCTCTTGAGTTCACCCTAGTTTATATCACAAAACATCATCCATTTAACTCATGGTGGGTATTACTGCTGATACTCTTTATTCTCACTGAGAAGCATCTTCTGTTTAGCAACTTAAACTTGATAGGATGCTAAGGGTGGTTGTCCTGTTTTAGGCTCTTTTAAAGTGTTGCCCAGTGGTTCATGTCCGTAATCCCAGCACTTTAGGATTCTTACAGCGGGCATATTGCTTGAGCCCAGGAGTTTGAGACCAGCCTGGGCAATGTGGTGAAACACCATCTCTACAAAAAATTTAATTTTTTAAAATTAAATTTTAAAAAATGGGCCAGGTGCAGTGGTATGCACCTATAGTTCCAGCTATTGGGAGGTT